CCATGGCATCGACCCAGTGGTCAACGATTCCATCCCAGTTATGTAAAAGAAGGGGAAGAGATCCAGAAAGACGGTCTGCATAGTTTGCAAACTGCAAAAAGGCGGGGGCCAAATTCAACTGCCGCCATTGCTCGAGTGCATTTTTAAAGTGCGACTCGTTATCCTGTCTCAACAAAATAAGAAACGATAGTTGAGGAATGAATCTTAATTTTAACTGACGGATATTGTGTCATCGACGGTCGTTTGTGCTAAAGGTGAAGGGAGATGAACATCCTTAATTTGAGCTCGGTACGATTGGTGCTTAAGCGGCTCGTCAGCGAAAAAACTTTAACTCTGCTATATTAAATCACTACCTTGAACCTTTTTGGCTGCTGCCCTACATTTTCTGCGCTCATGAGCGACTTTTTTGGTGGATGGAGTGCAAACTCAATACTGGATCGACTTTGCCACCCAAACCAGAGTACGACACTTGGCTTTCCCCAACTGGTCCCAACAGAAGGAACCGCTCCTCAAATTTCTCGCTACGTTCATTCTCTGGTCTCCTGGTGGTATGACGCAGGGATGACTTGGCACGCTCGCTTCAGTGTCCAGTGTCGGGTCGAGCAGCACGCACCGTCGACTACGGTGGAGTAGAACCGATGTCCAGGATCACAAATCATTTTATTTTGGATATAAATAAACCAGGGTCGAGCTATGCTTGATTGTTCGAAGTCAGCTCATCAAAACTCTTTCGGTCACACGACTCTGATTTGTTCTCGGCAAGTGTGTCGCTCAAATCGCCCTATACCAAAGCTTATTTTGCCTCTCAGGGTATGCTGATAGTGGGTTGCATGGCATAATTCACCGAGAGGGTCGCCCACACTCGGTACACCGTGGAGGCGTCCAACCAGCTTCGAATGAGGCCTTCACCGTCAGTTCGCCGCCTCTCTTACGTGAGCATTTGTTTTCCCGATACACAGCAACGGTGTTTTCCGGCTCGGAAGCGCGCAAAAAGGATCTGGGCCAAGCGACCGTCTCATTCACATGTGCCTGGCGTTTTTCTGGTCACACGAGCGCAAAAAGGATGATGAATGCATTTGTCTTTTCTGGGCCGACAAGAACTCAGACAGCCCTCTGACTATCAGCGGCGCACTCCGGCTTTATATAGGGATATATTTAGTGACCCCGTGAGTGTCGCCACGAAAAATCGACCTCTTATCACTTATGCCCCTACCACTATCGCAGAAAATGACCACAGTCGACTCTGAACCCCCATCCTACTCCAACCAATCCATCTTTTCGCTAGATGGAGAACTAC